GAGGTTGCGTTTACCTGACCTGAAGGAGTTGCTTACACTGCCAGGCCTCTGATGAAACAGGCAGCTGCTGTGATTTAGCCATACAGCTGCTGGGGTGACCATACCAGCTGGGACAAACGAGACTGGGCAAAAATTCAAAGGAAAATCAGGTGAAGGAAACACCAGTGAGTAGCCTTGAAAAGGTTCAACAAATCAGATTCCTGGAACGTAGAGTGCCACATGCAGGCACAGCACTGCAACAACCCAGCTGAGGCTGAGTCTTCACATTTCACCTGTGGCTGACTTGAGGCCATGCTGGCTCAACCCGACATACATGGACCTGGGAGAGGACGGGGCCTTACTGACTGACGTGACTTTGGGATTTATGTGTCCACTTGTTACCAAGCAGGAACCAAAGGGGCTGTGCAGAGCAGGCTTTATGGCATGTGTCCAGGAAACAGCACTAAACAAACTAATGGTAAACAGCAACCAGACCCCCTGAGAATCTGATTTCCAGATCTGTCACGTTATTTTTATTTTAATGCCTGATTTTCAACAAATTATCAAACCCTTAAAGGACAGGGCAAAGGTAGAAATACAAATTGCCCCTGAAAAGCTGAGGTCTTGGACTTAACTGACTTTACATCAGCTGTTAGAAGAGAAGGAAGAGATGAGAACATTCTTACCCAACAGTGACTATCAATACAAATGACAAAAACGAAACATATAAATTGTAGAGTTTGAAAGTACAGTAACTGAAGTAAATTCACTAGAGACTTGACAGGAGAACTGAGTTGGCAGAGAAGTCAGTGAACTTCAAACTATCCAATCAGAAACAAAGAAAAAACAAGAAAAGTAAGCAGCTGGGTGTGGGTCATGGCTTATGTCTGTAATCCCAGCTACTCAGGAGGTAAAGATGAGAGAACTGTGGTTCAAAGCCAGACCAGGGAAAAAGTTAGCAAGATCCCTTATGAACAAACAAGCCCAGACTGGTGGTAAATAACTAATTCCAGCTACCTGGGAAGCACAGAGGTAGGAGGATCACAGTCTGAGGTTGGCCCAAGGGAAAAACAGTAAGACCCTATCTGAAAAATAACAAAGGGCTGGAGGTGTGGCTCAAGTGGTAGGGTGGTTGTCCAGCAAGCACAAGGCCCTGAATTCAGACCCTACTACAGCCAAAAAGGCGGAGGGGGGGGGCGGGTGTGCAGAATGACAGAGACTGTGCAACAGCATCATGAAGCACAGCAATGGACACGTGGGAGTCCAAAAAGACGAAAGAAAAGTGAAGAGTGTTCAAAGAAATAAACCCAGACATAGCAAATTCGGTGAAAAACATGCATCCACACATCCAGGAAGCTTAATGACCTTCAAGTAGAACAAATTCCAATACCTGTGCCTGCTTGCATCACAGTTGAGATGTCAGATCCCAAAGACAAAGAGTCTGAGAACAGCACAAGAACAAATCAGCATACAAAGGATCCCAAAACACTAACAGCTGGTTCCTCAACTTGTGGGGCTCAGAAGGCAGTGGGAGCTATAGCATTAAAAGTGCCGAAAAATTGTCAGCTACGACAGTTTTTTGGGTTTTTTTTTTTTTTTGCAGAATGTCAGGTACATTCAGCAAAACTAAAAAAAAAACCAAAACCATGCAATCTGAAACAGAGACTGACTGTACTGCTCCAAGACTGCACTGTAACAAATACTACAGGAGTCCCTCAGACTGAAGTGAAAGCCACTCAGCAGTGACTGAGATGTACACAGTGGTGGTGGTGCAGCACACCCGGTCCTACCAGCTCCCCCGCAGAGAAAGACTGTCCTCCAGCAGGAAAGAGAGGAAGTGACAGAATGCTTTGTTTCAGGGTCTTCTAGAAATAGGGTAATGGCCACCAACCAGACGAGCACCGGACTGATGAACCATGGCCTGCACAGCTACTCTGGCCCTGGAGGACGGGAGCCATGCACAGCCTCAGATTCCAAGCAGAAGGCTCCCAAGACTGACCAGCCGGGGAAGCCTAGTGTTGGGGGCTGTGATCACACGCTTGGTGGTTGCTTCTCCCTGGTGTGGTGGCCGGGAAGTGCTGTGTGGATGGACGGAGGACACTTGTTTACCCATATCCCTACAACAAAAGTGGGAAAGAGAAGTGGCCGACCAGGACCCCAGGAGCTATTCGAAATTCATCTTGTTCTCTAACCCCATCCTCTTGGCCATGAGGCTGGTTTCCTGTGTGTTTTCATCTCTTCAGCATTTCCTGCACTTTTTGCAACCAAACTGGGAGTCCGACCACCCCTGGTTAAAAAGATGGCAAGAGCTCTGTTGCAGCAATCAGAGGAAGAAAGAATTCCAAGCTTCCAGGGCAGATTTCAGTGGTGTGGAGAAACAGCAAAAGAGCAAGTCAACATGGAGGAATTATTTTTACTACAGCAGTTACTCTCCTGAGACCTGTTCTTCCTGTGTTTAACCTCTCATTCTTGGGTCTGGAAAGAAATACACATTAAAAAATCTCAGCCTCACACCCGGCGTAAGTTCACAGCCAAGCACAGCACCAGAGCCGTTCTGAAACACCAGCGCCTCCTGTAGCTGATTTGCAGACGAGCCCACTTGTACTCCCTTCTGATTCAGTGCATGAACCTCAAGAACCACAAGCTGTGGCACCGTTTGGGAAATTGTGTGGTTTCAGGGGGAAATAAATTGCATCCAGCAGCTGGTCTGTAACCGCGGGCCGAGTTTACTCAGATCACAGGAATTACTCCCATAATGAGGGGTTCCCTCCTCGCCTCCTTGCCCTTCATGAAAATAAAATTTCAAAGACAGTCTTACCACACACGAAACTCTCTGGTGGCACGGAGAAAATGCTCTGGCCCTTCAGTGACTCTGGGTGGGCACAGGTGGCTGTCACGGAGGCCTGCAGTGCCCTGCCCACTAGCCATGGTGGCAGCCACTTCAGCTGGCAGTCACACAGGAAGCTCTCACTGCTGATGTGGCTGGAAGAAAAATGGAAGTGGGCACTTAATTTGAGCCTGCGGTGGAGGGGCCCTTGCTCAGAAAGAGTCATTGCCTCAACTGGCTTCTGATGCCAACACGGGCAAGCTGTGGGGAAATGCTTTTACTCACAGTTTCTTTCCAGTAACCCAGAATGGCGTGTGTGACCTACCTGGAGAGCCTCACGAAGTGCAACTTCTGATGGAGGTGGGTCACAGTGAACCACAGCACCTGCAAGGCTGGTCAGGCCCTGGGTAATGCTGAGGCTGCTGGTCTGGAGACCACAGCAACAGCCCACAGGTTACCCTTGTTTCTGAGGCAGACACTGCTCATCTGAGAACTTGGGGATAACTTCTAACTTTTGAACCTTGGATGCATTCAGCAACGACAAGAGCTCTGGTTTTTCCACCTTTCTGATAAGCTACTGCCAAATCAAATCTGAGTCTTGGATCTAACTTCTGCAGCCAGTTCTGAGACATCTTCTTGTCCTGTGTGGCTGTTATTTTTGATTTGGCAAAGCTGTGTGTTTTTTACGTGTCACCATTGCTTGTGCATTACCTCTACAGCAGCATCATTAAGGAAGCCAGCAGATTCAGCTCAGCTCCCTGAATAGTGCTTGTTAGCTTACTGCTACTGCCCAAGGAGCAGGAGAAGGCTCAACTTTGGTTTGGGAGGCTCCAACCAAAACAGAGTATTTTCCTTTTCATTTCTCAGCAACTGAGGATAAGCTCTGCAAACAAATTGGAATGGCCATCTGAGTGGACATTCCTTCCTGAGGAGTCAAAGATAAGTCACTCATAGAGCTGAGTTTCCCTCATCATGGAGGATTCAAAGCTTGAGTGAAAGAGTAACCGCCAGCCCACGAAAGGGAAAAGACCAGAAAGGAAACATGTGGCTTCCCAGTAACAAACTGCCTCTGGTACTTGGTGACAGAAGTGGGGCACTTTTGCTTAGAATTCACAGGTCATGCTGGCCACGAGGAAGCATCAGTCCCTTCTCCAGCTATCAATGTCCTCATATAACAACAAAGCAGCCATGGAGACGGGCTTTCTACTTTCTGTCAGTCTAGACTCCTAAGGAACAGTGAAACTCAAACAAACACAACCCAGGGACGATGGCATTCGTGAAACTTTCTCCTCCCTCCTGTTCCTCTTTATCCCACATGAGCAGTGCATTTTAACTTCTTAAAACCATTCATGGAAGTACTTTCCCAAAAACTGAAATAATTTATCTAAGTCATTTAATAGGGATGCTGGCCCATGTCAGACTACAGTTGGTATGAGATTCTCCATTTCTATTTGATGAACAGGCAGCATCTGTTAAGAGGCATCCTGAGGTCTGTCCTGTTGAGGAGTCACTGGGACGGCAGAGGGATGTCACCACTACCCATAAGAGGATGGCTGGTTCTCACACCAGATATAGGGGGCAAGCGTGGCAGGCACAAGCTCTGTGTGGTAGCTGGTTGCTGTGGAGGCCTGGTGAAGAGCCAGAAGGAACTCCCCACTGTCAAAAGCCCCTTCTGTCCCCATCGAGAGGTCATTTGTGTGAGGTCAAGCAGGACAGCCTAGGCACTGTACAGGAGAGCCTGGAGGCCAGGCTACTGCTGTGAGACTGAGGTACTTATGCGAGAACAAGGACATCTTTAATTTGAGCCACAGGAACAAATTTGACCTCAGTCTTTGATGAGGATTATGGAAAGGGTTAGGCCTTGTCCCACATTCCAGATCTGCTGGGTCCAGCTCTTTGAGGATTTCTCATACACTAACACTACCCCCAGTGAGGCCCACCTTGGAGAGGGCCAGACTCCAGTAAGACTGTGAGTACACAGAGTGGAGGTGGTTTTCCTAGGGAATGAGTTAGGGGTCAAAGGACAGACAGGGAGGAATTGGAGCCAGCAGTAGTGAGGACACTGACCCCCTAACCACACCATCCCACAAGTTAGAGATCAAAGCCAGGCTGACTGAACGGTGGGCTGTGAGCTGCCCCGAGCTCTGCGGATTCCTGCCCCTCTTCCTTCACTCAGCCTCCTCAACTGCTAACAGGTGCTGCCATCTGTGGCTCCCGCTGCCAGCTAGCCCGGTATGCAGCTGGCTCATACCGTACATTTTCATGACTCCAACTCAACGTGTGTTTCTAATCACTGCTTGCGGAAATTTACCCAGAGGATGACTAAGTGTACAATACATGCTGCTGTGATCTGATGGGGAAGAAAATGACTTAGTGGAATTAACCTATTTCTCCAGTCAAGGACTGGGCACAGGGCCAGTTATAGTGGGTACATGCAGCAAACCACAGAGCCCAGGCAGGAGACCAAGACTAAGCCTCTAAAACTAGGTGCAAGCAATGTTTTGTTTGTTGGGGGATGGGTGTCCAAGCTTCTGGAAGGGTTCATTTCTCCACAGCTAGGAAACTTTCCTAAGAGACTAAAAGGAAAATCACTCTCTCCTTCCTCTCCTCTTCCCCCTTAATCACATCTTGTGTGCTCCCAATATTATATTTGGAAGTTTTAAAGACAGAAAAGTTGTAGGAACTGTATACTGAATGCTCCACGTACACCCCCACACACATACACATTGATCTTTTACAGCCAATGATGTTCTGTACTTGTTTTATCATCTATGTCCACCTGCAACCAGATTATTCTAAAATAATCTGGAGTCACTTTTCCCCCTTCCCTGGAGTGGGAGCTATAGCGTCCTTTCTTCATATTCCATCTGCAGACAAACAAAAACTGCTGAGGTGGGAAGCAAGGGAGATGCTCAGAACCTCCAGGACCTGCAGAACCTGCAGAACCTGCAGAGTCCACAACTCCAGTGAGCCTGCTACAAACTTCCACACCACATCCCGACATCTCAGCAACAGCTTCTACTGGGCAGCCTCGAGTCCCTCAGCCAACTGACTATCATGAGGCAGCTACACAAAGCACCTCTTATCCTCTCAGGAATGTCATCCACCTGCCTGGGTTCTCAACCACAGTGACTTCACCTGTTTCCCCACCAAGGGTTCACCAGGAGAGACCTCAGCAAGGGGATGAGGCTGGAGTACAGAAAAGCCATACTTTGGCCTCTGCCAAACCCATGGTCAGTATCATCCTGAGTGAGGTTAGCCAGGCTCAGAAGACCAAAAATCATATGTTTTTCCCCATATGTGGACTTTAGATCTAGGGCAAAGGCAGCAATGTGGTTGGACTTGGGTCACATGACAAGGGGAGAGCACATACGGGAGGAATGGGGATAGATAGGAAACCCAAAACTTGAAAGTGTTTGATGTCCCCACTGCAGAGGAGATAATACAGTAACCTTAAAGCCACAGAGGTCACTATGGGAAGGAGTGAAGAGGTCAGGTAGGCATGAACCAATTTGGGTTATAACACACTTGTACATGGAAGCAATGCTAGGAATCTCTCTGTATATCTATCCTTATCTCAACTAGCAAAAACGCTTTGTCTTTCTTATTATTGCTTATGTCTTCTCTTCAACAAAATTGGAGAAAAGGGCAGAATAGGTTCTGCCTGGAAGCAAGGGGGGTGGAGAAGATGGAGGGGGCGAGGGGCAGTGGGGGAGAAATGGCCCAAACAATGTATGCACATATAAGTAAATGAATAAAGAGGGGAAAAAAAAAGAACCCATGGTCAGTTACACTGATATTATAGCTAGAACTAACTGACCTGAGCCTCAGAGTCACATAGAGGAGAAAGAACGAGTACCTAGACTCACCTCTCTGCCAAAGTCTGTGATATAGGTAAGCTCCTCTAACCCTTGTCTTCTGAGAGCCCATGGGGAAGTCAATGGCAGTAATACCAGCTGTGTACCACTGCTGGGGCTTTGGGACTGGTGTGGCTGGGCACCACCATTTTTGAGTGTGCCATTGCTGCCTCTATCCTGCTCACAGCTCACCAAGCCCCATCAAGAAGCCCCTCTCATTACAGGTCCTTCATTTTAAGCAAAGCCAAAAGATGAAAACTTGTCTCTGACATAATTAAAGGAGTGACTATTCACTTTATTAGAAGAAACTTTATTTCACATTTGTAGAACAGTGGTTAGCAAACTATAGCCTATAGGCCCACTGCCTGTTTCTGTCGATATGGCTTTAATGACACACAGGCACACCCATTCTTTATTATTTATGGCTGCTTTCTGCTACAGCAGCCATAGCCAGGTGGTCATGACACAGACCCTTTGGCCCACAAACTCCAAAATGTTTACTAGGTCCACCTTCAAAAAATAAAACTTTGCAAACCCCTGATGTAGAGTACACCCTATAGGACATTTTTCTTAAGGACAAGTTAACTTACACCCTCCTATAGAGGATCACAGCCATTACATAAGGTGCAACACAAGTTTAGTAAAGTGTGTCTGACTCTGAGTCTCCACTAATCAGGGCCAGGGAATCCCAAGTACTTACAGCTCTTTAAGATTCTTCATCTTCACAAAGGCATCAAGCTGGACTGACCTGATGGCATTCTCTCCCAAGTTCCTGAAGCAGAGCACAGGGACTTTACAAAGCAGCACTGGCTCCCTTTCCAGTCAGCGGCATGTGTGCACAGGGCACCCACAGATGACCCACAGTGGCAGAGCCTTTGTATTTCTTGTGTGTTAACACAAGCACACAGTGACAGGGACAAAGCCAACCTTGAGGCTAGGTGGAGGCACGTGCCACCTAAGTTGATGGGCAAAGTCCTCCCTAGCAGAATAAAGCTGAACTTGATTCAAAGATGAACTAAACGAAGAACCACACACTATAGGCATCTGTCCCAGGAGCAACAAGAATGTCTCAAGGCTGGCTCTGTCCTTCATTTCCAAGGTCCCATGGGCAACCACCCCAGCAGAAAAGATTCTAGTGAGACCCAGCACATACTCAGCATGGCTGAGCTGTTCAGTGGAGGTAACTGGCTTGGCCAGGATGAAGCACCCTATGGATGGGGCAATGAGACCAGGTACGGAGGAACCTGGTACAAGGGTGACAGACACAGTGCAGCAGGAGGGAGGAAGGCATTTGTCTAGATACCAATTGCATTAATTGGGAACACACCAACAAGCCATATGTTCTGAGACTGTTCTTGGCATAGGCAAAATAAAGGCCAAAGTTGAAGCTGACTTATAATGAGAAGGAAGCAGCTGGCGTTTCCAAATAGCCTGTTTCTCCATTTACAAAGATGTGATTAAATTGCTAGCAGACTTCCCCGGCAGTCACATTCAGCAGGCCTGTGGGTCAGGAAGATCTGGTAAGATACTCACAGGTGCTCCAGGCCTTCTAGCCCTGAGAATGCTCTCTTGGCCACGGACTTGATCTTGTTTCCAAACAGAGTTCTGCAAATTTCCAAACATCCAGGCATGGTGGGGGATGAGGAAGGGTGGGGAGAAGGAAAACATACAATTAGGGCAGTGCTACCAGGTGAGGTTAAATGCTGACCTGTGCCGAGATTACAGGTCTGCAGTGTGCAGGCCATCACTTTTCTGACATTAAATACCTATATCTTTATTAGAATTTCAGTGATAACAGGCTGCAATTCACATACTACCCAGCCCCAACAGTCCCCTTGCAGTATCAAGTGGATGTCACTGTGTCCAGCCCAGGTTATTTCTCTGCAAGGACCACTCAAGGGGGTGGAAGGTTGAGGCCAGGCGGTGGCCTTACAGGAGAAATGGGACTGGTTACTATTTCACTGATGAAGCAGTCAGAGAAGGTAATGACAACTGAGAAACTAAAAACTGTCACAAGCTTCTGACAAGTACATCCTGGGGATAAAAGTTCCCACAATAGGCAATCAAGAAGACAGGACAATGGATATCTATCATGGTGACTCCACAGCTCTGGCTGCTCAGATGCACCATGACAGCTAGGAGGCAGCTACCATGAGCTATGCCGTTGCCCTTGGCCTACGGGAAACGCGGCTTCTCGAGCAAGACACCAGGTTTTATATGTAGTCAGCCAGAAGTTTATTAAATCCAAGGTAGTCTGGTCCTCAAAGGCCAACTGTAGAGGTTAATGTCTGTACCCTTAGACTCCTAACCTAGGAGAAGTGGCTCAGGCCTCCAGGCAATTCTAATGCTAGCTATACAACACTATACAACAGTGCTCCTTCCACTCCAATACAGGGACTGCTCTGATGACATACCATCAAAGACACTGCTCAAATCCTAACATAGGAACCCGTCTGCCAGTGAACAACAGGGTGACACTGTCAGGTCTATGGACCCTTCAACCTCAGGTCTTCTCTGAAGGACCTGATGAGGTGCTTAAATGCCTAGGAATTCAGAATCAGCAGATCCAACGGAACTACCAGGCAACAGTGTGCAGCTGGGCAGAGGACAAACCCTTGAGAGAGAGGACCAGTCTAGCCCAGCCCTTCCTGAGTGGCACGGGAGGGAAGGGGAGGATTCCTTGTCTGGATCTTACTAAGAATCAGAGAAAGGATAGACTAGAAGCCAACTCTGCCTCAGCTTCATGAGATTGGGACCCATGAGAGATGACGACAAGCACAAACATCCCTGAAAGGAGAAAAGAAAGAGGCTCTGAAAAAAAAAAACAAAGATGTCAGGGCAGCCTGGACATTACCCACCACACAAGGCGCACACTTCAACCTATTAACAGGCTCCCAGGGACAACCCAGACCCAAATCAGAGGCTGACCTCAGGAACATGGGTCTAGGCCTAAACAGGCCCAGCCAGCTCACAGAGCACAGACAGCAACTCCAGCTCCACCTGCTCCCAAGGACACTGCCAGGCCATGGCCCAACTTCTGGACAGCCATGCCAGGGGGCTTCCTGACCCCATCTCATCAGAAACAGACTCTTACCCTGGGGGCCTCCATTTCAGTAGCCCAAACAGTCACTCTGGTTCAGGAGCCATACAATGCCCACTCTGTTTCCTGCCTCTGGAGGGTGAAGGGCCAACAGGCCAAGGACCCCCGTGCCTTTTCTTTCTCTCCCAGGCAGTCTGCATGGATGTGAAAACAATCTCATCCTGAAAGTATTTCCACAACCTCTCACAATCTGGAACATTTATTTTAAATAAACCAAATGCACAGAATCCCAGTGGGCATGCTAACTTTTGGACCCCTTAATCACAGAGCTAGCAGCAAGTAACAGCTGGTGGGGCTGAACCCCAAGTGCGTCTGAGGGAGCTGCCAACTTCTACACTTACTCAGATCCCCCACGCCGGGGCACTGTGTGCTCCAGGTCCTAGTAAAAACCCACTGAGCTGTTTGTTGAGATCTCCCGTAAACTGGATCCAGGAAAAAGCTGTGCTTCATGTCAGCCATTAAGTATTAGTCACGTTGACCTCTTTTACAATGAGGGCAGGCTGTTATTTCTAATGGTGACAATAGCAATAAAATAAATTCTCCAATTCTCAATTACGCAGAGCCAATCATCCTGATGGTGGATTAAGGCAGGCCTTTACATTCTCCCAGCAGACACTGGGGGTGGGGGTGGCACTCAAAGCTAGTAGACTGTGCCCGTTCTAATAAGGTCAAAGTGGATGCAGACAGCTGGGACTCTGGGCGGGAGGGGTGCTCTTGTCCCAGCCAGGCTCTAAGAAAGGGGTGGCCTGACTTCCCCAGCACTGATTTGGAACAGACAGGGCCCCGGGGCATCTCCTCTTAAACCTTCATGAGTCTCCTTGCCAGCCCTACCAAGGGCTCCCAAAGGCCAGTTCAGTGCACACTAAAGCAATCACGGCAGGCCCCACGGCGAGGGCAGGGGGCAGTGGTGGTCCTTGTCCCAGGTCCTGTGGAGGAACCATGACATGTACATCGGCTGTGGGAACACCACCCAGGCAGGAAGCCAGAGGCCTTGCCTCACAGCCCACTTCTGCACACCTCTACACACGCCCTTCACACGGGCCCTGCATGTGGGGCCACACCTGCATCGCTCATCCCTACACAAGTCACTATTCTAATGAAGGGCCTCATCCGAGTCCACAAATTCTCCCTTCCCTCCTCGTGTGCTGACTACGCCCATGTGCAGGCCTCCAGCAGTTGAACATCAGAGCCATTTTGGAACAGTGGCCTTGGGGAGTGTATGACTGTGCAGAAACGAGTGGGCTTCAAACAAGGACAAAAGGAACAGGCTGGAGTCTAGGAACACTTCCATACCACCAGGAAGTTCCAGTTTGCAGAACTATCCAGAGTAGCCGGGGTCAGAAAAATGAAGGGCAGGCCCACGCTTACCCAGTGATGGAAGGAGGCCTCTTAGCTCTGCTGCTCACTTCGCCCTTTCTTAGAAAACATTTTCACTTAGGCCTGACCTCCTAATGGCAGGGAGGACCCCAGTTCCTCAACTAACTCAGTGCAGGCAAGAGCTCCCTTCACCTTCAAAAGCAGAGCCCTGAATATTGTCTTCTCAAGGTGGTCAAAGGCAAATCCAGGCCAGCTCGGAGGTACTCAGAGCACTGCCATCTCACAGCAGCTATGGGGAGCAGCCCTTCTGTGGGTAAAAGCACCCCACTTCTCAGAGGCCCCAGCAGACTTGGCCCACAGCACTGTGTGGTGGCCACTTCTCTCAGCCCTGCCAACCTACAGAACTTTCCTGGCAATGTGCTAAAGAGAATGGGTGGGATGCTGGTTCTCTCTCTTCTTTTTGTTTAGTTTTTTTTGAGATGGAATTTCACTATGTAGCCCAGGATGGCCTTGAACTCATGGTCCTCATGCCTTAGCCTCCTGAGTGCTGGGATTACAGGCCTGCATTGCTATGCCTGGCTCTGGTTCCCTCTCCCAGTGTTTACTCAGCACCTGTGCTACCCAAGCCCTGTGGACTCAACTAGAACTGCAAACCAGGATCACGTGGAAACCATTTACTTTTCTCTTTCCCTTTTAATGTGCAAACTAACTTGCACACACCATCATGGAAGAACAGAACCATGAACCCATGTGGGTCACACCCTTACAGCCACCAACACATAGTGCCAATCCTGTTGCTCCCGTACCGCTCACCATTTCCAAACACAGAAGATTACTTGGAACCCAATTCAAAGGCATCACATCATTTTTTTTCCTTTGCAACATAACCACAGTATCACGACACTTAGGCCACTGACTGCATACATTTAAACACATGAAGGAATTTTGCTGTCCAATTTTCACCAATTAAGTGCATCTCTCTCATTCTCTCTCTCTTCTTTGGTTGTACTTGGGTTTGAACTCAGGGCCTGGCACTTGCTAGGCAAGCACTCTACCACTTCAGCCACACCCAGCCCACTTTGGTTTTAGTTATTCTTCAGATAGGGTCTTCAGTATTTTGTCCTCAGATTGCAATCCCCCTACTTCTACCTAGTTGGGATTATGAGCATAATCGCCATGCCCAGTTTGTTCTCTGAGATAGTCTTACTAGCTTTTTTGCATGGCCTGGCCTCAAACCACAGTTCTGACTCTGCTTCTTGCTACCATGCTTGGTTCCCTTATTTCTTTCACTGTTTTTTTGGGGAGTACATATTGGGGTTTGAACTCAGAGCTTTGCACTGCTACGCAGGTGCTTATCATTTGAGCCCCATCCCTAGTCCTTTCTGCTTTAGTCATTTTTAGAACGGGTTCTCACATTATTTGCCCCTGCCACTCCAGACCGTGACTGTCCTGTGTAGATGGGATGACAGGTGTGCACCACTACATCTAACTTCGTTGGTTAAGATGAGGTCTTGCTACTTTTTCTTTGACCAGGCTGGCCTTGAGCCATGACCCTCCCGATCTCTGTCTCCCAAGTAGCTGGGATTACAGCATGAGCCACCATGCTTGGCTTCTCTTTTTTTGTGCCACCACCCAGCCTCAAATTACAGATTCAATGGGGCTGGATGACCAAGGTTGAGCCCCTGCACTGCACATCCCCAGGAGTCTCAGGCTAGGTCAACATGGAGAGCATGTCTCAGTGGATGGAGCCTGTGTCAACAGAGTGAGTGTGAGTAGGAAGAACTGGGCTGAGACTTCTTTTAGCCTCTGAAAGAGCTGCTCAGTGCGGTGCACAAACAAGAGACAGAAAGGGCACCAAGGAACACAGGGCAGGCGGGCATTCAGGAAGCAGCAGGCCAATTCACACAGCTCCACAACCCCCAGCGCTCCCAGGGCTGCCACACTTCGAGAGCTCTCTTCACTGTGTCAAGGAAGAACTTCCTGGAAGCCATAACACCCACACAGTGGCTCCAGGTCCCACAAACAATATGGCAATGCTACCCACTCTTCCCCACCTCACAGGTAATCTGGTTCAGGGGAGACAAGGTGAACGGTAGCTCAGGGGCCCTGCACCCAGTAGCACCATCCCAGCCCGGAATTCCTCGTTACCAACAGGCTGTGCCCTGGTCATGTGACTTTTTCTAGTCTGCCCAAGTTTGGCATATGGATTAAGGGCCAGGAGGTTGTTTTGGGGAAGAGAAGAAGAACTGACAGTACCTCCGACACACTACCAGAGCAGAGGATGCTCAAGGAGAAATCCTCAGAGCCAAATGGGCTGTTCTTACTCAGCGCCCTCCCACAGTGTAAAAGGTGTGAAAACTCACACACTTCAAAACCCATCAGTAGTTACTCCCCAGATTCTGCACTACAGGCTTCACAGGGCCTCAAGTTTTACCAGGGCTTCAAAATATTTACTTCACTCTCTCTCTGCTCAGTTCGGTCACTGGGACCAGGCTCGGGAGTCAGTGGTGACTATCTTGTCTCTCTCCCCTTCATGCAGACATCACCCCAAGCCCACGTGCTCCTTGGTGCCATCAGCAGAAGGTGCTGGTGAGATGCAAGGGAGCAAAACGCCAGCTCTGGTGCCACCTCCAGCTATGGAGGCCTCGGCCAGAGCCCTTCATTTCTCTTAACTCTCAAAAAGATTGCATGATGGACCCTGCCCCCATGAGACACATACCTCTTGCACGTGTGCACACACACATCTAACAGAATAACTGGCAAAATCTAGGAATTGGGGGTTAAAAGGGACCCAAAATATTGAACTCAAAATAGCTACTACTATTGATTTTGGTAGTGATGGTTTCTATGTGAGATTATGATTGGCAACAAAAATACTACAGACACTTCAAAACCACCAAGTTACTCAGCAGGAGACATTTCACACATTTTCTAAAAACTGAGTAAGAAAGCAAGACTCCTTTGCGCAAAAGACAACAAAAAAACTTAGCTGTTTTTAGGTGGGTTGTAAATTGACCCCAGAGAGCCTGCTCAGGCCACCAAACACCAGGTCTAAAAGCTGGGCATCCGCCAGGGGCAGGGAGGAAGCTCTTATCCTAAATAGGCTGGAGTCACCCGCTCATCCTCAGCATTGTCTCCCCACATACAGCAGAAAGTCTCAGTAGGGCCCGCACCCCAATGTGGGCCCAGGACAAAGAGGCATAGAGGAGCCACCAGTGACGAACCCTGCACACCAGTGCTCAGACCACACACTCAAAAGTACTCACAGCTTGCTGAGGCTGTCCAGCCCCATGAAGGCGCCACTGGTGTCCTCGATTGTGCCTGAAATCTCGTTATGGTCCAGGTCCCTGGGGAGAAGACAGAATGCAAGTTCACCCTCTAGTCAGCGCCCTCCCTTGTTACTCAACATGAAAGGTAGACCAGCCTCACACCATCAGGCTCACCCACGTGCACCCCAGAGGCCCAGTCATGAGAAGCACAGCCCTTAGTGTGCGCCTGGCTTCTCAGCCTTCCAACAAAGCCGATTCCCCCACTCCCAGCTGGGAACCAAGGTCCCTAGTCAGCTCTGCCAATCCTGGGGAGGGAAGCGGCTTGTATTCCACCTCACCCCCCACACCCAGCAAGTGAACATCTGGTTCTGGCAAGGAGCAACAGTCCCAAAGGTTCCTTAAGGTTCCTGTCTACCCTCACATCAACCAGAGTCCCTTTTCTGTACTTCACCAAACAACTGTGGAAGGCACATGGAAGACAGGGTTGGCAAAGGCCCTGGCCTGGGGCCCCTCCACACTGGCCAGTGGGTCTGGAGCCTAGAGCCTGGCTCCTCATAAGGTCTGCATAGCACTAGACTCTGAGCCAGGGAGGACATCTGGGTGCTGAGTCAGACCTGTGACCCACTCGCCAGGATGGAAGCAACGAGGCCAACTCCACAACCCAGGCTCCTCCGACATGCAAATCCCAAGGCCGATGAGTCAGCCGCCTCCTCAGCTTCCAAGGGCAGGTCATGACGCCCAGGCGAGACACCACACCTGGCAGCCAGGCCCCCACTCTGAACACTACTGCCCTTTCCAACTTCCCACAAAGCCCTTGGTTCCTGAACTTTCCTCTCAGAGCCCTTGCAAACCTGGCCAGGGACAGACAGAGAACCTGCAGTGACACTGCCAGCAGAGGGGAGCGCTGATTGAAAAGCAAAAGAGCTTGCTGTGACCTTTACAACAGGAAGCTCAAGAGTGAGACTCTGCTGCTGGAAAGGGCTTCTCCTTTCAATGAGTGGTTCCCTGTTATTTTTAGACTGAACAAATCAGGGGCTGGGGCCAGGGCTGGGGCTGTGGCTTTGTGTGCCCGTCTCCCTGCTCCAAACCTTTGCTGCCAGAGTTTTTCTCTTCTTTCTGGCCTGCTCAGCCTGACTGTTCCCAGCTTTGTTATTCAGGCCTTGCAAGAGCTCACAGGCTGACCTCGGCTGGAATAGCTTGGCTTTGGCTCTTTCACCCTCCTAGCAGTGAGTCACCACAAAAGCCTACTCTGCCAGGTGCAAGTGCAGAGGCCTCCTCCAGGCACACTGGGCAGGCAGCCTGTCCTCATGGAGGGCCATGCCTGTGGAGGAGGCCTCAGAACTTGCCACCACTGTCTGGTGACAAACCACAGGCCACTCTTTCAGGATTTTATGCTTTCTCTTTCTGGCCGTGCTGAGGTTTGAACTCGGGGCCTCACAGTTGCTAGGCAAGCACTCTACCACCTGAGCCACCCTGCCAGCCCTCTTTGGGGACTTCATGCTGATAGTTGTGTGGAAATAGTCTATGCAAAGTCCAGAAAAGCATCCTGCAGAAACTTCTGGCAACCCCACCTAATTAGACAGAGGAACATGGTACCATCACCTCCCAGGCTCCACAGTTCCCTAATAAGCCACAGGAAAGCACACAGGGATGGCCCCCTCAGTTCCACCTGTCCTGGATGCTGGGTATGCTGAAGCTCAAATGCTAGCACTGAGAAATGAATGGTGGCATTGGAGGAAAAAAAATATACACAGGACTTAAAAATGTTAGTTACGACATGAAGGCTCAAGACTGGAAGGACTGACATAGTGTTTGGTGTCCGGGAAGCTACTGCAGGCACCTGGCTTGGGGACACTTTTCCCACCAACAGAACCCCAGCATCCTGCCAAGTGAATCACAAGAACTATTGCTTGATAACAACACTTAAAGAGCTGCCATACCTCACTGGGCTTGGTGGCAGGTGCCTGTAATCCCAGCCCTTGGGAGGTTGACACAGGAGGAGCATAAGTTCAAGACCAGCCTGGGCTTCACAGTGAGATTCTGTCTCAAATAATAATAATAATAATAATAATAATAATAATAATAATAATGGGAGGGGGAAGGTGAACAGAAAGGGGGAAGGGGATCATGGTTAATGTACTTTGTATACATGTATGAAAATACAACAATGGCAGCTGTTGAAATTGTTGTGAGAAGTGGGGTGAGGATGAGGAAGAATGAAGGAGAGAGGAATCTAATCAGGGTACACCATAAGCATATTTGGAAAGGTCACAATGAAACCCCTGAACAACTAATATATGCTAACAGAAAATGGCAAGGGAGAATATTTGAAGGGAGTGAAGAGACCAAAGTGGGGCACACCCATGGAGGGCATGCATTGGGATGCACCTTTGAACGTCAACTTGAATATTAATAATGAAAACTGGGACTGAGAAATGGGCACAGTGTGTGCAGGGTGAGGGGGAGGGTGAAGGAAGGAGATCAAGGGGACGGTATATGAATAATGGACTTGCAGAGCTGAACAACCTCTTGCAATGGCTTTGGGGTGAGGAGGGAATGGGGGGGAGGGGACAATGGGGGCAATGTGGACATTGTGCAGTGTAAGTCTGATCAGAGTTGTCACTGCAAATCCCCCGTGTAGCGAATGTTCCCTAATAAAATATTTATTTTAAAAATGTTTTTTAAAAACCAAAAATAAGAGAGAGTTGTCACTGCTCTACAGGTTCCATCCTGGGGAGAGAGGTACATCTTTTTGCTCAACGTTCTCTTTCAGTTGGTGATGTGGAAGTTTGGACTGTGTGTCCACAGAAGGTCAGCTAGGGGTCCAATTCCTGACCCAAAGGCAGTGAGAGTGGGAACTTAATGAAGCAGCTGTTTTGCTTTGTTCTGCTCTCCCACCCCGACACCCAAACAGTGGGAGCCGTACAGGATGCGCAGGTTCTTGAGTCCCTTGAAGGCGCCCTCGGCAATGTGACTGATGGCATTGTGGCTGAGGCGCAGGGTGGTCAGGCTGCTCAGCTCCGCCAGGCTCTCCGCATCCAACCGCGTGAGGTTGTTGAAGGACAGAATCCTGAGGAAGGGATAAGGAGGCAATTGTCACCACTGGGCCACATGGGGCACACCTACTTTCTTTTTTCCTTCCTGAACAACTGAGCCACAGTGACTGGGACTCAGTGGGAAGGGGACCCAGGAATCCTAAGTAAAAGTGGCTATGTAGCTAGATACCAATTGGGGCCCAGCATCATTCTCATCACGGAGACCAATGAACTGTGAAGACTACACAAGGTCACACAACACAAGAAGCCTCAAGGCTCCAGCTACCTCATACTGGTGTCCTGACTGAGGCTCCTGGCAGAAGCCCGATACTCTGGTCAGGACCAGGAGGGGTTCTGCACAGAACATGGGAGTCCTTGTGACATTCCCTGCATCAGCCAGCAGAGGGCACCAGGAGTCACCACCTGGGGCAGTCACATCAGGGCCTCTCACCTTTGCTGGGTGAGGTGGGCAGGGACTACTTCCCCAAGCATCCACTTTGCCTTAGTGTCAAAACCAAGCCTCTCCTAGCACTCCCAAACCTCTCACATGGCCCTGGGCCGGTTACTGAGCATTCTGGTCATCTATGATTGAAAAATGGGAAGCCTGGACTAGGACAGGAAAATAACTTCAGTGAAGATTAGTGCGTTTTTAAAACTGGCAGTGAGCAATGTCCCTTTCCTCCTGGAGAAATAAGTCATGGTAGCTATCAGTGACAAAGACCTGGCAGGAGATCACAATTATATCCTCACCTGCAATTAAAGATTTTAGTTTAAAGGAAGGGCAGGAAACACACAGGAAAGCAATCCTGCATTTTGGTCTGAGGTTGCCTGAATATGGGCCAAGCTGCTAGGACTGAGCCAGACAACTTCAGTACCTTGTGCCCCTCTAAAGGGCATAGGCAGCATCTTCACATGGTCCATCAGCCAGAAAATGGAGCAAGGAACTCAAAGTAGGCCTTTCCCAGGGCCTCATGCACACTGGCGAGTCACAAAGGATTTATCCTCACTGTGGGAACTGGTCTGGCTTGGGGACCTCTCTGCTTCCCTATAGCTTCCAAGCTTGTCCAACAGAAAACCATAGGGCCTTAGAGTTCCCTGGTGGAATCCTAGCCTGAGCCAAGAGCTGATAAGAAGCCATCCAATAGCACGTCAGTGGACAAGGGCAGTACCTGGAAGCATCAGGAAGCTAATCTGAAAGGGCTAACACTAAGACACACTCACAAAATCCCAAGGAAGCAAGTGCCAAAAAAAAAAAAGGCAGGCCTATGGCTTTTTGCACTACATCATGATGGATTCAATGAAATATAAACTCTAGGTTGATGGGGGCGAGGGGCCGGTGGGGGGTGCGCACACACACACACACACAGTGAGAAAGGAAGAATACAGATAACCAGGTAATAACACAGACTACAAGAGTCCAGAGTAAGTTCAAAGGTCCCCCTGAGTATGCCTGGTGAGGTCAGAAAAGACAAGACAGAATAAGGCTCGGCACTCTTAATCACTCACTTTAGTGGGTGAATCTTCTCCTACAACCAAGTCTAGAAGAAGAAAAAATGGAAGAAAACTCTCCTAAGCTCTTTTGAAAATAAACCTATAAACTAAACTAGAGCCTATTAAACTGAAAGAACTAACATAGTGAGGACCTGGGGTTTTCTTCTAATAACCCAGTGTTCTAAACATGGGATAGGCTCACTGAGTCCTTGGCTACTGTGTTCACATCAGTAAGTACATCTGCCCTGAGATCCCAGGCCGTGCCTTCCCAGCACAGTGGAGAGTGTCACTGCTGTGCTCTGAAGCTTGGGCATTAATGAGCTAGGATGTTCTCAAGCCCAACCCGGGAACCCTGTCTGAAAATCTCCCAAAGGGACGCAGGGACCACACGTCTCCTTCACATCCAATGCAAACAGAAGGGCAGCAGCCAAGTGTCCAGAGAACTTGTCTGAGGGAAGGATGGTGGACACGCTAAGGACACACAAATTCTTCCGCCACCAGAATGTCGTCATCTTAGCTTCACTGTCCTACTCAAATGTGACTTTTGGTGTTTGAGCCCAATACGCCCTTTCTCTAGGGAAGTGCTCATTCCGTGGTATGGGCCTAAGGTACTGTCACTCTCAAAACAGCTACAGTGACAACACTCTAGGCTGTCCTCTCCTTCAGGAACTGTCTCCAGACCCAAGAAGGTCCTGGGAACAGAAGAGCCCTGTGGGGATCTATGTGCCACTCCTGGAGTCCCTGCTAATCCACAAGCATAGAGGGTGGGGAAGGAAAGGACTCAGCGCTGTTCCAGGTAGGCTGCTGGCCTGCCTGAACCCCCCAAGTCTACCGTGCTATTAAGGGGGCCAGGCCTACTGTTTCCTGGGCTCTGGAGGACTGCCCAGGCACTGTGTCAAAACACTGTCACTGACCAAAGCCGAGGACACTTACAACTCATGCAACTTCTGACAGAAGCTCCACCCATCACGATGAATGCGAGAGATGGAGTTGTTGCTGAGATACAGCTGGTGCAGGGCCGTGAGGCCATACAGGGAGCCGCTGTTCACTTCCACCAGGCTGTTGGACTCCAGGTGCCTACAATGACAGCCACACACAGGTTAAAGAGGGGACTGTCATTCATTCGTCAGACAGCAAATAGGAAGCCCCCCTGTACCAGACACCAGGGTCACCAGCGAGGCGGGAATGGCCTAGGGAGGGAAAGTGTGTATGCAGGCACATGGGCAGTTGGAAGAACACAACCAGAATGACAAGAGAGAGCCAAGGCAGACCAAGAATGTCAGAGGGCAAGGGGACGAGTAAAAGTGAATAAGGCAAATAAAAGGGCAGAGGTGTTCTCAGGGAGGGCAAAGCCCATAAGAGGAACAGAGAGGAGAAAAAGAAGGCTGCCCTCATCTTCCCCACCTTACAGTTATGCAAGTAGTAAAGAGGACAGAATGGAGTAAACCCAGGTCTCACTAACAAAGTCTGGACTCCAGACCACTATGTTAGGGGACCCAGCTACAGCTCTGTGGTTTTTCTGAAACTTGCATTTAAATCTTAATTTTGCCACTTTGATGACTTAATGAGCCTGAGCATCTGTGAAATGGCAATATCTAAGAGTGTCAACTTTATAGGCCCATACAGGAAGGAAGGAAGAAAATGTACATTAGGGCTAGGAGTGGTGGCTTACACCTATAGTCCAGCTACAGAGAAGGCAGAAATTGGGAGAATCACAGTTTGAGGCCAGCCCAAGCTGAAAGTTAGTGAGACTCCATTTCAGTCAATAAGCCAGGGATGGTGGTTCACACCTGTAATCCAAGCTACTCAGAAGGCCTTACATGGGAAAATTGCTGTCTGATGTGGCCCTGAGTAAAAACACAAAACCCTACCTGAAAAATAACTAAAGCTAAAAAGGGTTAGGGAGCATGGCTCAAGTGGTAGAGTGCCTGCATAGCAAAATGTGAGGCTCTGAGTTCAAACCCCAGTGCTGCCAAAAGAAGAAAATGCTCATCAGGATGCAAGCACAGAGCTCAGGAGTTGGTGCTCAACATATTATGGTCCAACTCAAGATTTCTCCACTTTACAATGGCTCCTAAGCGATATGCGTTCAGTAGGAACTGTACTTGTAACTTCGAATGTGGATCTTTTCTAGGCCAGTGCATGAGGTCCAATGCTTTTGCAATGGCTGGGCAGAAAGCCACGGATGGCTCCCAGATGGCCAGTGGTTCACCAGTTGAAACAATCCATAGTATAGGGTTCTGTGGCGTTAGGCTACAATGTTCCCAAGACAAGGTGTGTTAGATGCATTTGCAATGCTGGTATTTCCAACTTCCAATGGGTTTCCCGAGATATAGTCCACTGTGCATCAGGGAACACCTGTATGCCACTGCCTTGCTTCACAGGACTCACGCTAGCCACAGATGGCTCCAGCACAGACTGCGGGCCTTTTTAACAGAAGTTACTAATTCAAACCTTACTCCCTGTTCAATACGACAAGGGCTTTGAGCAACCAAGTTTCGCTTTTTTCTGCCTTACTTTTCCAAGTGCTCAAAAACCAAGCACTTAATTTATAAAGCTCTAATGCTTTATATTAAATGCTTTTAACCTCAGCTTATCCATTACATGATCACTTGGATTTCAGATTCCAAAATGACAACTTTAAGGAAAGAAAACTGGTTTTTAATACATAAAACTGAGATTCCACTATTCAAAATAAGGAGAGTGAGAAGTCAAGCAGCAGGTTTGTGTCCTCGTAATACAAAGTGTGTGTGGGGGAGGAATGGTCAGAAGGACGTGCTTCTGTCTACAGTACAGCAGGGGCCTGGACCTAGGTCTTTGGCTTTGGTTTCTGTTACAAAGATAACCAATAAAGGATAAAAAAGTTGCGATATAATACTGGAAGGGAGCAGGATGGTAGTTAGTTGAACCACTGACTCTACAGTAACCAACTGTAGAGTCACTGACTCTACACTGACTCAAGTTCACAGTGTGTTTACATGGAAGTAACCACCAGCAAAAAGAAAAACCCAATAAAAACACTTAGAAGCAACAGCCCCTAGAGAGAACCACTGGCATGAAGAGGGGATGAGGGGTAAAGTGGTGGGCAAGGACTGCTTTTCTATACTGATTTTAATTATGCAAATGTACTGCTTCTGATTAAGAACAAATTTAAATGTTTGAAAAGTGAAAAGCAGCGACTGCTTTTCTATATGTGTCTGCTGTTGTTTCCAGTTACTCTGGCAGTTGGGCAGCTCTGCGGCTGTACGCATCTGGCTGAAGAAAATGTCCCTTGGTAAAAGCTGCACATATGCACCAAGGGTTTTGATTAGCTCACAAGGCAGGAATAAATCTCTCTGAAGATGAACTATATATTTTTGGCCCATGTGCACAGCAAGAAAGACTGTCAAATCCAAAATGAGGAGAGAAGGAACTTCCTGTAGGGTGTGGGGAGGAGTTGCTCTGCAGTCAAGGGTTCCCAGAGGAAGGGGGTGGGAGGGAGAGAGCAGGCCCAGAGAGCAGGAGGCTCCTTCCTTCACCTCCTTCACACCTGACAGAACCCACTAAACCTCTTCCAGGAAATGTTCCTATTCTGCTAGGAAAACACCTGAGGTTTGGTCCAGTCTGCAAAGGTAGTGAGCTGGGCCTAGAGGCAGGCCCACGACAGGGAGGTGGCCGTGTCTAGGTAGCCTCCTCAACACACCTTGTTCAGCTGAATGAATACACATGGGCACCACACACGCAGGTGCACACACACAAAGAGCCCATGCTGAGTTCTCACACCTGAGCCCAGCAGGGCTTGCACACTTACAGCACGTGCATCTTAGACAGCCCCCAAAAGGCGCCATCTGTCAGCTTGCTGATGTTGTTTCGCTGAAGCTTCAGCACCTCCAAGCTATCCAGTCCCTGGAACGTGAGTCCCTCGATCAGCCGAATCCGATTCCGATTGAGGTCACTAGGATAAAGCCATAGGGTCAGAACATCACCTGCAGACATTCCGAGGCGGGCCCAGCTGGGATTTTGAGCCAATGGAGAAACAGCGGCCAACGAGTCACAGGAGAGCCTAAGACACACCTCCCTGGCATTCAGGCACTGATGATGCCACCAAGAGAAGCATAGCGGGCACAAACACAATTCATGATTCTGCAGCTGGCATGGGCGTAACTCAGGAAGCCTTAGTGAGGTGTCTCAGCTCAGCAACAGAAGTCCACACCAGATCCTTCACTGGCTAGGCTCTCCGGGAATGGAGAGAAGTTACTGCATATGGGGGAAGAAGGGTTAGGGGAGAGAAATCTATGAAGCACAAATATTCGGCTTCTAGCCCCAGAACAACAGAGCCTCAGTTGATAAAAGATGCCAGGAGTCCGGCGGGCTGGGTTCGTAACAACTGAAGGGGAGGGAAAGGAAGCACACGGTAACCAGAACACCCTTGGTTTTCCCCAAACTTTTCAACCATGTCTCATGACTCAGCGTCACTGAGATTCCATAGATGAGAAAGAGCAAAGCTCAGGACCCACCATCTAAAGGAGGTGATGGACGGCAAGCAGCACTGAAGACTGGGGTGTACCCTATCCTATGCTAGCCCGCCCTTCAACAATTGTTATGTTCTGTTTAAACAAAATTTCCAAAATTGCCTTATGTTTCTGAAATACACTCTGTGGCTAAAAAGAACCTACAAAAAAACAAGTAAGAAATGGGGGTCAGACATGATGGCTCAAGACTGTAATCTAATCCTAGCTAACTACAAGATGAAGATTGGGACGATGACAGTTGGAGGCCAGTCCATGAAAAAAATCCACAAGACCCCATCTCACCCAATGGCTAGGCATGATGGTAGTGTGCTCCTGTAGTCCTACCCATGTTAGGAAGCACAAATAGGAAGACTGTGGTCCAGGCCAGCCACGGTATAAAGCAAGACCCAATATCAAAAAACAGCCAGTGCAAAAAGGGCTGGCAGAGTGGCTTGACAGGTAGAGTACCTGCCTAGCAAGCTCAAGGCCATGAGTTCCACCCACAGTGCCACGAAAAAAATAAATAAATAAAAAAGAACAAGAAGAAAACAAGTCCATTAGGTTTTGGTTAATGAAAGGATTTTTGAATATAAAACCCTGGGCCATTCTAGGAGGACACTTGGCCTTGGTTATGGAAGAACTACATAAATAAATCTTTTTAAGAGAAAGTAAATCTGCTATCTTGTAAGACTGAGGAGGCAAAGACAATAGTCATTTCTTGCCAGATTGTCTGGGCGCTGTTAAACGTGAGGCTAAAGCTTCTGAGATAAGTAAGAAACTAACACACAGCCTAAGCATCAGCCAGCATCAGCAAAGCAGCAGGATTCCTCGTCTCACTTTGGAAAACACCAGCGAGTACAAACACCTATGGACTCAGTGGATCTTTTCCTCAGCAATCTGAAGCAAATTAGGACCCAGCTCCTAATTTGCTTTTATTAGGTGTTGCAGTAGGGCCATTAATGATAGTTTATGCAGAGCTTTCCTAAGGAGGAGTGAAGAAGGGGTTGCAATTGGTATGAAGTCTTTGGGGAAATCTAGCCCCCATAAAGTTTAGCAAACCTTAATTAAAGCACAGGTTTCTGTACTCACAGTTGGGTCAGCCTGGGTAGCTTGAATGCTTTCACAGGAAGCTGAGTGATCCTGTTTTTGCTCAGGCGAAGAGTCAGCAGCGACCGTGACAGGCCATCAAATGCTCCCAACTCCAGGGTGCCAATTCGGTTGCTCGCCAGGTTGCTGGAATGATTTAGAAGAGAAAATGTAGCAGCAGTGGGAGGCTTTCCTCATTCTATTACCAACACTAGACCAGCTGGGTCTGAGCCGGAAAAACATACCATGATGCACCCAGAGAGGCGGGTTCCCACTGAGAACCTTTGTCATCACAAGGCTTCAGGGCTTCCCTGATCCCTAGATGAGGAACCAGAGAATTGCAGGTGACAGGACTGTCCAATGAGGGACTTGGAGCATGTCTTGTACCAGCCTGGAGCACAGTGTACTTGTGGCTGGTGGCCCATGAGAGTGGGAGAAAGAGTTACACACCTCCACCCATAACCCTTTCCCACAACAGCCCCACTATGCAACGGCTACCTGAGAAGCCACCTGCAGGACTCCTCCTTCACCACCCACTACCCTAGGCAATGAAGAAAGCCCAGGAAAGCAGAAAGTCAATTGCTTTCTAGGCAAGGACAGAGCGAATTTAATACTGTGGAGAAACAGCCTTTAATTTTTAAGTAGGTCTCACTGCATGACTTACATAAGTACAAACCAATTCACTGAAATAATTTTAAATGCCTCAAAGAGACATTCTACTTAGAGACCTGCACAGAGTCCCTTAGAAAACAAGCAACCCTCTTCCACAGTGCTGTATTCATAGGTGATGTTTGTGAGGGGTGCCTCTAGTGACCACACAGAGGACAGATACTTTCTAAAAGAGCTGAGCACTCCAGTGTTCAATTCAGATGTATGCATCTCAAATGTATGCAAATTATTATATCAAGCAGCAAAACAGACAAGAAAGAAAGCAGAGGAACAATATGTTACTTCTGTGAGAAGTTACCCCCAGTACCTCTCTTCCTGCCTTTCCCAGGCAAGAGCTCATTTTTTCAGCCTGAGTGAAAAGGAGAGACACCAGAGAGAATCTTATCCCACGGTTCAGGGGCAACAAGGCACCTCCAGTCTCTCCGTCAGGCAGTGGCCCAGGACAGGGCACACGAGGATCCTCTACAAATGGGTCAGGCTGTTTGTTATTAACACTCCAGATTAAAGAACAGTGGTATGATGATGGTATGCCAACCACTAGCTGTCAAAACAGAAGGTTGTGTGTAAACTACCCTCTTTCATGCAGGGAGAGAGAGGTCACAGCAATGCAGTTCAGCAGCTGTGGTTTCTTTGTCCGAAGCAAGGAAGAATCAGGTGGCATCTGGATACCTTTTGAAAGCCTCCACATAGGACTTAACAGAGGCCACGGCCTTCAGGTCCCAGTTCTGTCACCTTTTGCAGCTTAGGAAATAAATTGCTCCTCTGCCCAGGGCTTTGAGAAGACTTGGAAAATCCATGTGTCAAGCCTCGTCTTCCCTGAAGAGAGGATCATGATGACCCCTAAACTGGCCTTGATAACAAGCTCTAAAACTATTCAGAAATAGTGGTACTGAGAATGAAAGTCACTCATAATTGGAAAATGTGCCCTGAGCCTTGCCTTTCAAATTCTTCCTCAACGTGTCATTCTCCTACCTGCAAGTAGTGGATTGTATAGGTTTTCAACTGTTTTACTCCATTTTGTGTGAGATAAGCATTAAGATGGGTAAAAGAGAAACAAATCTCAGAAGGCCCTGAAAAAACACATAACAGAGTAACTTGCCCTTCTGAACCACGTGACTAGTTTTAATGGTGCCTTATACTGAAAGATAAGCACTTGTCAGTTCAGAGAAGTGTCCTTCCAATGTGAGTCCTCAAACTGCCCTTTTTTCTCCAACCTTTTCTGGGAGGCAGCCCAATAAATAGATATGAAAGCACTTTTGTGATCAAGACAGACTGGTATCTCTAGATCAGAGTTCTAGATGCTTCTCTTTGAGGGGTAAGCTCCTCAGACAGGCTAATAAACCCTATCCTGCCTCAGTTTCCCCTTCTGCCTGTAATGTCAGAAGAGGGCTGCTGGATTTGGAAGTGCTCTATAAACTGGCACCCAGAAGACAATGGATAGGGTCCCCTCCGTGGGCTGCTAGGGAAGCTAAAGATCTGCATGACCCCTGCTGACTCAGCCAAACCAGGCTAAGAAGGAAGGAAACACTCACCCCATAGCACACTCACACCTGGCTGTTACCTGGCCTGGAAGTAGAGGGGTGGCTTGGGTGACAGAAGTACTTACAGCTCCCTTATGTGCAATCCATGAGGAAAGCAGGTGCTCCGGATTTCTGTGATGTTGTTTGAACTCAGATCCAACACTTCTAAGGACAGGTAGGGCTTCAGTTGACTCCCCTCCACACTTCGAATCTTATTGTGCTGCCTGAAACACACATAAGGAAGTAACATGAGCATTTCTATTTGCAAAAAAAAAAAAAAAAAACTATAACAAACCGTAATCCCCCTGACTTTTTTACTAGTTGTTTTGCTCTCCCATAAAATTGAAGTTCAATGATACACAAAATGAGACCTCCTGTTCCTTTTCCCATCAAGTTCTCATCTGCTGGCTGTGTGCTGGATTTTCTGTCTGGGATAAGCTATCTGCCAAAGTACTAATGCCTCTGCACTCTGCCAAGGGCAACAACACAGGGGTGATGTTTAAGATCATCTGAGAGCATCATGACAGGACCAGCAACTGATTGCCAGTCCAAACCAGTTCCCATCTCTAATCTTTGAAAACTGGTCTAGTATCCTAACTTACAAGACTATAGGCATCAGAGCCCAGAGTTCAGTTTAACCCAACTTAATACATCATTACACACTTCACACTGTACCAGCATCTTCCAAGTACCAGGCATGGAGACAAACATAAGGGATGTTAAAAAGACCACAAAGATGATGACAAAATCCTGATCATCGAAAAAAGGAATGAGGAGCTTGCTGCTTGGTTTACTCTTCTGAATCCCCATCCTTAATGGTTAATGGCTTTGTGCCTCAGTTTTCCCATCTGAAATATAGGGCCACAACATATCATATTTTAGGGATATGAATGATCCAAACTGAAATTACACTAAAGCATCTGGCAGACATTCAAGTAAGTGTTCAGAGTGTTACCCCCCAAGGAAAGCAATTTCCATCATGACTTATTTACACATTTAATCCTCCTTCTGTCAGGTCCAAAAATCTAACCAGTCAGTCAGTAGTCACTACTCAGGAGAAAGGCAGAGGAAACCGCTGTTGTGAATTTGGCTCTTCGTGGTAGAGTCAAACCACTTGCAGCCCTAACTCCAACAACAGACACTTAAGAGTGTGCTGGGTGGTAACGCTGGGCCTGTGGGTTCCAGGCAACACTCAGACCAGTTCTGAGTAAACAGGGGCAACTCTCCAGCCAATCAGAGCATTCTGGAACATAAGACAAGTAAGCCAGGCGTTGTGTACCAAGTGGCATCTCCTTTAAACAAACACTTGACCAAATTGGTTCCAACAGGCATAAACAAGGACCTCTTTCCCAGAAGCTCTGAGGCTTCTCCTTGATTCCTTTGTTTTTTTCACAAGTCTCCCAGGCCCTAAACTCAGATATCTATTTATAAGGGCACAATTCTGCCCACAGAGAAACCTCCCCAGAATGAAAGGACCTTTTCCCTCCACCTCTCTTCCCTCCTGAAAGCCACTTCCTTTGAGTTCTTTATTAAGTTCTTTAATAAAGAGAGTCTTCAGTTTTCTTTTTCCAAAAGAAGAAGAAAAGAAAACCTTTATTATGTAAAGTATGGGAAGAAAAAGAACAATAAATAAAGACCAGGGCACTGAGTATCCAGGAACTCTGAATACAGTACCAGGGAGCCAGGAACAGAGGGTCTGGAATCAGAAGGGATGGGATTCTTTGGCCCAAGGCTGCACAAAGGGGGGTCTGGCATGCTGAGGCCTGACACAGGCAAAGTCCTCAGGACAGCTGTGCACCCCATACTTCTCACCCAGACATCTCCCCTCCCCCATGTCTTCCCTCTCTCCTTGGTCTCGGTCTTTGTCTTCTGCCTTACACCTTTTTCTTCCTTCTTGTCAGTCTATTCACCAAGTCAAACACATTCTGAGCCTGGCTCTGGATGAAGGACACTGTGAGGAAGACAAGTCTTTTTCACAAACTGGGAAAAGTTCTCCACTTAGCAAAAGAGGCAGCCATGGAAATGAGAAACAAGGGTGTGTGGTGGGAGGGATAGCATAGTGCTTTACTTGCCTGGAAGTTGCTGGGGAAAGGGCCTGGATGTGGGATGCTGAGGCTGGGCAGAGCCAGGTGAGACGCCTAGGAGCTTGGATCAGGCTGCATAGCTGGCAGGGCAGGCAGGGTCACACCAGGAAATGCCTGCCAGGCCACACTAAGGAGTTAGGAACTGACCTCACAGCGGGCCTGGGAAGAGGGGTGGCAATTGGAGACAGGCATAGAGAATGGTCAGAGGAGCCACAGAAACTGGAGCTGAGAGCTGGTGGCCCAAGCTTTCCAGTTTGACAGGGAAGAGAGTCTGACGGGCAGGTCACCTTCCACCCTTACCTACTTGCTGTCTACACCCAACCCAGCAGCCAGAGGTTTTGCTAAAAACAGGTCAGTTCAGAAATCTCACAGAATAGAAGATATCTGCAAGTTAAGTGTCTGCTGACGTGGGACTATCCAGAACACAGGCGATGTCTGCATCCATCTGCAGTCAACCAACTGCAGGGAGAAAATATTCAGAAAAAAAAAAATCACTTCTGTTCTGAAGGTGTACACTTTTTTCTTGTCATTGTGCCCTATCGATACAGTTTAACATTATATAGCTTATGCTGTATAGAGAGTACAGAAGGATGTACACAAGTTATGTATAGACCCTGTGTCAGCATCTAGGGATTCAGCATCTGTGGGGGGGTCCCAGATGAGAATACATGAAGAACAACTAGAACTCAACAAAATCCTGATTAAAAACAGCAAAGGATTCAAATATTCATTTCTTCAAAGATAGACAAATGGCAATAAGCCCATGAAAAGATACTCCAAATCAGAGTTTATCAGGGAAATAAAAATCAAAACCAAGAGATTCCTACCACCTCACACGCATTAGAGTGGCTACTAATGGATGTGGAATAAAAAGAACAAAACCAACAATAAAACAAGCATGAGTGAGGATCTGGAGACAATGCTAGAACATGAAGTAATGGGGCTGCTGAAGAAAACAGTGTGGCAACTAAACAGAAGTCACCACATGGCCCACCACCTCCACTCCTGAATACCACAAGGACTAGTAGACAACATCTGTGTGCCCATGTCCACAGAAGATGAAGGAACTCAAAAGTCCACAAAATGTGCAATAACACACAATGAAATATTACTCAGCCTTAAAGAGAAGAGATGTTCCAATGTGCTACTGAAATGTGCGACCCTCGGGGACATTATGCTTTATAAAACGACCCTTATGATTTTACTTCATTGCTATCAAAAACAGTCAAATTCACTGACGCATAAAGTAGAAAGGTGATTGGCAGAAACTGGGGAAAAAGGACAATACAGATGTGTTGTTTAATGGACATAGAGTTTTAATTTTGGAAAAAAGAAAAAAGTTCTGGAGATCAGCAGTACAACATGAACGTACTTAACTCTACTGAGCTCTATCTATACTTACATCTTATGTTATGCATATTTTACCACAATTTAAAAACAAAACAAAACATGAGTCAGTTCAAAAGACTCTTCTTCTTAAAACAAATGACGACTCCTGGGTCTTATGGGTGAACTTTTAAAATGGCCACCATGGCCTACATTGTCCACCACACACTCGCCTAACCTCCTACTCATCCGCCTTGTACACTCTGTTTCAAAGAGCTCAGGCCTCAGGATCTTTGCACTTATCCTTCCCACAGCTCAGAATACTGTTCCCCAGAAATCCATTTGCCTCACCCGCTTCCTTCCCATCTTTATTCAAATATGACCTTCTCAACAAGGCCTTGCCCCACCACCTTCTCTTAAACCACAGCCTCTCTGAGCATGCACATGCACACGGGCTCTTTCCATCCCCTTGCCTGCTTTATTTTACTCAATACCCCTAATTATTTCTCTCACCATGATGTGGTTTCATGAAGAAAAATGTGTTTATCTGGTTTTTTTTTTTTTTTGGTGGGGTGGCTTTTTTGAGTTCCTGGGATTTAACTCTGGGCCTTGTGCCTGCTAGCAAGCACTCTACCCCTTGAGCCATGCCCCCAGCCCTCTGTCTGCTTTGTTCTGTAGTATTTCTAGCCGCTGGAAGAGCATGAAGGACATAGAAGGTGTTCACTAAATGCCTGAATGAATCACGGAGAGTGAGTAAATGAAATCAGAAGGGCTGAGGGTAGGCACGCATGGTGGGACTCACCAGCACTCACACAGGAGAAAAACAGGCAAGCAGATGGCAGCTCAGGCAGGAGGACCGGGAACAGGAGGAGGGTAGTCTGCCCGTGCGCACAACTACCCAGGCCTCCAGCAATTCCAGAGCCCCACAGGGTTCCCGCATGCCGCCCACAGCTACTGAGGACACATGCTACCTTCTCTCCAGGGACTGGTCTCTACTGTCAACTGCTGTCCACGTCCCGACCAAACCTTCCTGAACATATGTGCTCAGGAAAACTGATGCCAAGGCTCTGTGTTTCTGCAGGACTCTGCATCCCTCAGTGCAGACAAGGGCCACTCTGCATGAGATGTGTCTGAGGACCCTGGTAATTCTATCCAAGGCCAGGAAATTCCTGTTCTGGGACAGTGCAACACTGTTGGAAGACGTGCTGTGAGTGTTGCCACCCAAGTTCAAATCCCAGCTATCCCACTTGGATAAGCCCCAATTGTAAAGTGGAGTGTAACCTTCTTATGTTCTATAGGCTGATGTGACCTGATATGTAGCAGGTGCTCAATAAAACAAGCCCTTGTTTGTATTAGTCATATTTGTATCCTCAGAACCAAGCTCAGGATCTAGTTTACAGAAGGTGCTCTGGAAAAAGAATGAAAGAATACGATTAATGAATGACTGGTTCTCATCTATTCTTCTGCCATATTTCAATGCAAACCAGCAGGCCTGTCTCTCCTCGCCTCTCAGAACAAAGGGCTGACTCAGAGCTCACTCTCTCTTAGCTTTATGCTTCAGACAGGTCTGCTCCAGCTGCAGAATGTCAAGGACAGCCACTGGGGTGACCAGGCTGTCTTAGGGAGCCACACTTCAAAGCAAATCTCAGCCTGCAACTTGTGCAGGACTCAGGGGCGAGACCTGAAGGACCCCTGACTGGATTACATCCCCTCTCACTCCCACAGCAAATCCATGTCCTTGACCCAAGAATGCCAAACTCTCTCATTCCCACCTCTCCAAGGGTGGCTGCCCCATCCACAATGGCCCTCCAGGTCTCCATGCACTAGGTCTAGAGGACTC